TGACGATTCATTTTTCCAAACAGTTTGCTTGTAGAGAAAAAAGCTCAACTGTGTTACAGTACTAGATCACGTGTAATCATAATATACACGCTTCGTGTCTCAGATCAAATCAACCTGGAGTCTAGCATGCTAGCTTCAACTCACCCCGATCTAGAAGGTAAACTTTGCCAATCGGCGAAACGTACACGAGCTACGTTCCTTGGGACAAAGACACCAGGACTAATACCAGGATTGGCACTTGCTGTGTTGGCGACGACGAAAGGTTGGTTGATCAAGTTTGTTTTTACTATGTTAATTAATAAAACATGCCGTTAACATTCAGTCAGAAAATAAAACCAAATGACGAATATGGCGAAATAAAAGAACTTTTAGCGGCTGTGGCAGCACAACAGGGCGGAAGAGTCGGAGCCAAGAAATCAGATCGGAATGGAGGGGAACGTTGTTGAAATTACAAGCGCGAATGGAGCAGCCAATGAAGAAAGTCAAACGAAAGTTACTGGTGGGAATTTATATCCGAATGCTACTGGTATGAGATCTAAACAAGGACGAAGTTTTGCAGTTTGACCTTCACTAAATTCGTATCGGGTGTAACGCTAGCATCGGACACAGCGAAGTCTCAGAGACAGGCGTTCAACAGATACTGGACGAGCTCGAGTCGGCTAAAGCAATATTTGTAAAAAAAATTCACTACACTGTACTGTTTCCTTATTTCTTTCAATCATTTCTCGCCTGACTCTATTCTTTCATCAATTATAGGCAAGAATCATCAAAACTTCCCACGGCGTTATCGCCATACGACAACAGGCTGGGTTCCGAGCCACTCCCGAAGCCGCTAAACCCATAGGCTCGTCATCAGACACCAAGACTACAGAAACCCAATGGCATCCACCTTGGAAATTTATGCGAGTAGTTTCAGGGCATCTGGGCTGGATGCAAATCAGTAGCTATTGAGCCTGGGAATCAATGGTTTGTTACTGGTGCTGGGGATAGAACTATCAAGGTAAGGGGAAGAGGAAGAAGGGTAAAGAGGGAAACAATGATATTAATATGGGGATATGAAGAATGAGTTCTCGACTAACTTGCTAATTATTCAAACTTAGATCCGGGACCTTGCTTAAAACTTTGCTTACGGAACACATATCCACAGTGCGAGGGTTGGCTGTGTCGCCGAGACATCCGTATCTGTTTTCTTGTGGAGAGGATAAAATGGTAAGCTTCCGACTTTGGATGCACTGGTTACCGCTGGGAGAGACGCAACAGCCAGGGTAAGGTGTTGACAATGAAAGTGGCTTATTATTTGAAATTCCTGCAGACTTACGCGTTATACTGAGTTATCACTTTTTCCCGAAGGTGTGGGATATGTGAACAAAGCAATGTATGCATATCCCAAGCGGACATAACTCGATAGTAGCGGATGTAATATGTCAAAAGTTGATCCACAGGTCATCGCCGCTTTTATGGATTCGACCATACGTCTCTGGGATTCTTAGCTGCTGGCAAGGCGATGGTCACGCTTACGCATCACAAGAAATCCGTTCGTGCTCTCACGTTACATCCAACAGAGTTTGCGTTTACCAGTAGGAGTGCGGAAAATATAAAACAATGGAAGGTTCCCGGAGAATTGTTTATACAGAATTTTGAAGGTCACAAGGCAATTATTAATTACTTGACTGTAAATGTCGATAAACGTATTATTCTCGGGTGGTATGGAGTTATCGTTAGTATTTGTTGTTATGATTATGCCAGAATAGGTTTATATTGCTGTATTGTGGTATTGATGTTGTCGTTGGTTAATAATACTGATTCCGTCTTTCTCGGTTATAAAGGTGATGATGGCACAATGGCGTTCTGGGGTTGGAAATCCTAATATAAATTTCAAGCGCTTGAAACCACCGCGCAACCAGAATCTGAAGCAGGCATATTTGCGTGTACGTTTGATCGAACGGGATAACATGTGAAACAGATAAAACCATAAAAATATGGGGAGAGGACCCGAATACGGTAAGATATTGTGGGATTCAAGGATTGGGTATCTCTCATCACAAAGTGGATTTGTGTACTAATTCTGTGCATAAATTTCATAGACCCCGGAAACACATCCGATACAATGGAAACCGTCGCTCGCACGCACATGATTTTAACTCTTTTGCGTGTTGATTACTATTATTAGTTTTACAAATAAACAATTCTAATAACTATAATAATACCCGTTTGCAAACTTTATGTTGGAGGGGATTGAGCTGATTTATGGCCTAACATAAGTTGCACAAGTTAATTACGTTTGTGCGTTTATGGAATATTTCCATATAATAGAACTATCAAAATCGTTGTACGGTCGGTCAAAATATAAAAGTATGCATTTGAGTCCCGATGTTGATAGCATGCATTTAAAGAAAGTCAACTACAAACAAGTTACTACCGATGCGATGCAACATTTCAGCAACTCGAGTGTATTATCAAAGTCTCAATTAATTGTGAATGCAGCATAATGAGTTGAGGTCTTTCCGCAATATGTTCAATATCGTGGATTGAACATTCTTTGGTATATCATCAGCTCGTGGACCGATCCGCAAATCTTTTCCAAGCCTGCCTTTTTCCTGCATAAAGTAAATAATATCTGTAAGGCTAATGTTCAAATCGTCACATTTGTCACCGAACATATTAACGAATTGCTCAAAGCGAGAAAATCTGTGCACACTAGTAAAAACGACACTCGTCATCTTTATACTTATGCGCGGAACACACAAACTTTTGACCTCTAATTCATTTTCTTCGGCTATGCCGGATTTCTCCATGTGGCCAAGGCGAACGCGCGTAGCTTTTAAAACTAAAGGTTGAATGTTGAGCCTTTAAGATGAATCAAAGGACAAATAATTGTTAAACCCTCCATATAACATTTTTTTTAGTTCTACGAATACTTATTCCGATGCTGCTCTGCAAGACCTGTGGATCAAGAGTTAATAACAAGCAACAACACAATATTATTAATAAGATCGAGACTGAGATAATACTAAAGTAAAACGCGTATCGATATTTTAATTTAGAGGCAAAAGTACATTATAGTGATAACTTGTCCTCTGAAGTCAATGTCTATAATATGAAGAAAAAATTGTTAACAATGTTCGATTAAAGGTTGATCTAGAAATTTATTTCTCCCACAAACGAACATTATAATTTAGTTTATATTTATAGCAGAATTTTTGCAGTAATGCTTTTGAGATATGACGGAAAGAAAAACGTTACATTCCACAAATAAACGTTTTTCGAGTGCAGGCAAATTTATTTAGAACAACTGTAAATCACGTTTTACCGTTCGACTTTATACGACACAGAATAACGTGTTCCAATTTAATTAAAATTTGTGCCTACGAATATCTGAAATCGAAAAGTTTAATTACACTAGACATTTATAAATGAAATGACTTTCTCTTCATGTCAACGCATTGTTCTCTTGCCTTTATACCCGAACGTCAATTGACATCTCACAACTATTTCTCGGTTTAGGCAACTCTCCGGTAGTAGTAGGTAAAAGTTTGTGCACACTTTGTCGAGACGTGATAAAGGTTTCACATTAACGTAATTATGGAACATGATAAACCTTGCTATGCTATTCTTATTACCGCACACGCATTCATAGAATTCAGCGTTCTTTATAGTACAATACTCTTTTTCGAACATACGCGTATCTGATAATTATATAGTATTATCGCTGGTTTCGTTATATTTATGAATACAAAAAATGTTTGTTTGCTTGTTTGCTCAACGTGCCTAGTTGTCTTGTATACTGTACAAAGTGGCAAACTGAGTATAATAGAGGCCTTTTGACGCATCCGGAAATAAACTAAACCAATTACCCAATATTCATAATGTAGGCATTGACATTATGTCAGTTCGAAATTCGGTGTTGTTAAGCCAAGCCACTACGAGATGTCCATCTTGCTATTTTCTGTGTGTCTTTGCCTAGACCAAAGTCTCACATTTGGACGTATTATAAAATGCTTTTGTGGATAAAAAAGAGTTATCCGATGATAGATGGACTATCAATAACAAGCAAAAGACGTAATATTTCTCATTCGTGCTTACGATGTTGTTAAGAATTTTCAGCTAAAACAGCACTCAGCAAATGGTAATAAATTTTATTTGATCGTATTGATAATAGGGAGATACGGTCATAGTAAACGCTCATGTGGTCTACCTACCTGAGAATATGTAAAATTGATTTCACTTGAGATAACGGAAGGTAGACTGTTCAGTTATACATCATGCTTATTAATTGTCTGAATACATTGGGTATTGGCATTATCCAAATCCATCTATCAAGAAAATATATTATTGACACTCTTTATACTGTTTTCGACATGGTTGCGACAATTTTTTATGGAATATGTTATTAATGCGTCAAATTGTACACATTTAATAAAATTTCTGTTACAAAAAAACACAGGTTGACGTTCAGGCAATAACGCCTTGAATAAGTGCCGTTCCAATTGTTGCTCCTGAGTGCGCAACAACCAGAGTTTGTCCATTCCATTCTTTTCGGAAATTTACTCCAGGAACATCAAACGTCCAACCAGCGGTGCCACCATTTAGAATTGGAACTTTTAACGGTATAATATTGGGTGTCAGGTCGGTCACTAAAGTCTGCGTAACCGTGTCCACAATTTGGAGGGTGTAGTGAGTCCAATCGGTATCATCAAATCCGGTATTCCACTGTCCGATCAAAGTAACCCCCGTTGTAGATTCGTAGAACTGAACGGCACCAAGGATAGGCGAGAACAAAGCTAGCGCGGAGTCACCAACGTCTCGTTCGACCGGATGAGCGACCAAAGTGAAAGGAAGCAATAGAGCCAAGAAGAAGAAAATTAAGACGGAATTCTTTTGAGACATTTTGGCTTATAATATATATAATTGGTGGATGTGTTCAATAAAAGCTTTCGATTTCGGAAACAGCTTTCTATGAGGAATTAAACAGTCCACCGAGCAGGCTGTTATATAGAGGTTGTATGTCGAAAAGAAGACTACTTCAAACAGCAAACTCATTGTCGAAAAATTTGCTATATATGTTTAAACTATTTTGTCTGAAATAGAACAATGATAATTTATATGTTGTTAATAGAGCAATTGATTAAACACGTATTCGTCAAAATCAAGATACTCGAAATTGGTTGCTTGTAACAAACTTAAAAAATGATGTCATCAATGAAGATCTGATTTTATTCGTTGATAAAAATAACGACGATTATTATTATGCACACTCTGCTCCCCGTACTACTATTGGCTGGCGTAAATTATGCCAAGCCAAGAGAAATGTTACATATACTGTACCTTTGCTCACTTGGTAATGCAAACTACAGTACGTTTAAACTATTGAGGTATAGGTTGTTTGATTGTCTGCTTGCCCAAATAACCCTTTCCTTATATAATAAGTAAAAAAATTTAGCATTTGCTAGCTGAACATCGAAATTATCTGGACGGCGGAGTTTAGCGATGTACTCCGGAGAGAAACTAATTCGGGATCTCAAATTACGAATATAGTATTGACTATCGTTTATCCATAAACACTTTGTTATCTCAAATATGGGTTCTTAAATTAAAGAATCGTAATGATGCCTTTTTAAGCAAACAAGCGAAAAAAAAAATTAAAAGTAGAACCATTAAAGTCAAAAGTTAATAAGCTTGCATTAAATAGTACTAATAATAATAGCATGACAATTTCATAATATATACTACGACAATTACACGACTCAATTGATCCGATGAGGTAAAGTAGATAAAAAAAACTGAACATTGATGTATGTTAATGATAAGACCTAATACGTCTTTGAGCAATCTACAGTATCTCGAGTAAATTTTAATATCATCACGCTACCCGGTTTTTGTCTTGAAATTTACAAACTACATATGTCCTTTAACTCTGACTTGACAATACATAATAAAGTATTTGCGAGTAGCGTCCTAATACTGATAGAATTATTTGCTTTAT